TTTTATACAATAATAGCAATGATAATAAAAAATAACAATGATAATAATAGCAACATTAAAAATGATAATAGTGTGAATTATAACGTCTATGTTCTACAGCTGGCTCTGCTGCGCTTTATGATTAGAGTCAAAACTGCTTAAAACGGTCAACAATTGTGTAGGAGAAAAGTGGCCTTCTTAAACAAGTGGGTGTCTAACACAGTGTCATAATGTACACAATACAAAGGGATTAACGGGAAATGGCCTTTTGTACAGGTGGTTGTCGTGAACCGGCGGCCATTAGAGCAAGCTGGACTGTCTTATTACCCCATCAGACATCAGGACACTCAGAAACATTCTCGGCTTCACGGTAGCAAAAATAGCAAGCAGCCTATTAAGAGCTCAGACACTAGCAAACTGACAAGTGCTTTCGCTGTTTACAGCCTGTGCCCACTCCCACGTAGGTGAAGTGAGGACAATTCTTGTTTGGTGTCTTTCTCAAGGACACAACACAAAGCTACAGCGTGCAAGAGATGCACAGAACATCTTAGTTTTTCATCTAAATATATCAGTAAATGAACTCAGGAAAAGCGATGACTTATAAGAGACGGATAGAACATTTATAGTTTCTCATCTAAATATATCAGTGAAGGAAATCTCAAAAAGCGATAGCGAGCGTATAAGAGATGGATAGAACATTTTAGTTTCACAGATAAATGTATCAGTGAACGAAATCATGAAAAGCTACAGCTTGCAAGAGACGAAGAGAACATTAAATTCTAGTTTCTCATCTAATCATATTATCACTTAATGAACTCATACAAAGCCGTAACATGCAAGAGAGGGATAAAAAGTTTTCGTTTTTCTTCCGAATGTATGAGTTAATGAACTCGTACAAAGCTACTGCGTGAAAGAGTCGGATAAAACATTTTAGCTTCCCATCTAAATGTATCAGTGAATGAGCTCACACATGGCGACAGCGTGCAAGAGTCCCATGTAGGGAGGCGTTTGTACAGCTTGGTAGACCACGCCCAGCCTGTCCTGTATGGAACCCTCGTTAGTTCCCAGGCGGCCCACAAATATGAGGATAAAGGGGACGAAGAAAGGCAGGTGAGCCAAGCGGCCTATGAAGGAGCCGCGGTCTCTCTGCAGGTGCACGTTCATGCGGCTGGTGGAAGAGAGAGACAAAGGGTTAATCAGTCAAGCTAAAAACAATGTTTCTCCGGGCACGGGTATAAAAATTACTGGTGGTACATCATTGTGTGGACTGTACACAAATGTACGTCAATGTCTGACGATGATCAACGTATCTGCTGAGAAGAAGGTTTCTTAGGTGTAACCCCCCCCC